TAACCTTTCCTCATACGGAAAGGCATCTGATCACACAGTGACGGGCTGAGCCCGCAGCTGCAAAGGGAGATGTGTGATCTTGCAACTGCGGTTCAAATTACTCCGGAGGGAATGGCCTCGCTTCCCCTCCGCTTCAACTGGCGTGTGTGGCCGCAGCCTGAGACTCCTTCAGGGAGTGAAGTGCGGGGTTGTAAATCCAATCTCCTCCTCCTCCTCCTCCTCCTCCTCCTCCTCCTCTTCTTCTTCTTCTGTTTTCTTAATCCACATTTCTCCTTAATTTCTTGGCCGGGGATGGGCGAGAAGCAAGGATACATCTGGACAGTTGGGATAGTGTTGCCTCCATTTGTGTAATTTATGTATTTATTTACTTTGATTCGGTTTGATTTACTCAATTTTTATCCCACCCTTTATTAAATATAGAGAGAGCCATTTTGGTGTTGTGGTTAAGTGCATGGACTCTAATCTGGGAGAACCGGGTTGGATTCCCCACTCCTCCACTCGCAGCTGCTGGATGAACTTGAGCAAGCCATAGTTCTGTCAGAATGAAAAAGAGCAGTTTCTGTCAAGAACTCTCTCAGCCCCGCCTACCTCCCAGGGTGTCTGTTGTGTGGAGGGGAAGGGGAAGGAGTTTGTAAGCCGCTCTGAGACTCCTTCGGGTGGTGAAGGGTGGGGGGTATAAATCCAATCTCCTCCTCCTCTTCTTCTTCTTAGGTGTAGTGGTTAAGTGCACGGTTAAGAGTTTGGTGTCGTGGTTAATTGCACGGATTCTAATCTGGGAGAACCGGGTTGGATTCCCCACTCCTCCACTCGCAGCTGCTGGATGACCATGGACAAGCCGTAGTTCTGGTCAGAGCTGTCCTTGAAAAAGAGCCGTTTCTCTCAAGAGCTCTCTCAGCCCCGCCGACCTCCCAGGGTGTCTGTTGTGTGGAGGGGAAGGGGAAGGAGTTTGTAAGCCGCTCTGAGACTCCTTTGGGTAGTGAAGGGTGGGGGTATAAATCCAATCTCCTCCTCCTCCTCCACCTCCTCTTCTTCTTGTGTGTCGAGCAAGGTGGCTTACCATTTACCCACTAAACCACTAAAACCACACCACAGCAAGTAAAAACAACTGTTAAAAACGCCACACGGAAGTCCCCCGTGCCCACAGCTCTCAACTTCTCTTCCGCGACAGTCTCACAGCGCTTCCTAAAACTCTCCAAAAAGGGCGTGCCGTGCCCATGTCCTCGGGGGGCCCTCTCCAGAGGCACAGCCCCCAGTCGGACGCCAAGCTTGCAGGCCAGGGAGGGGGGCAGGCTGAAAAAATGACAGCCAGGGGGGTGTTGTTGGCACACGGGGACAGATGGAGAGAGACCATCCTTCAGGTTTATTAGTCATCTTTCCAAATTTACCCAAGGGCAACTCTCCAAAAACCGAAGCACAAACCCACTCAAACTTCGGCAAGATCGCTCCCCAAATACAAGCCGCCTCCTGCGTGCCTCGCTCGGCGCAGTACATCGGCACTTGGTGATGTATTTGCGGACCTGGTGGGATGAATTGCTTGATGGGGGGGGCAAATTTATGCGATTAATTCCCGGCAACTGCACTTGGACAGGGGCCGCAGGAGTCAACGATTTCAAATAAGAATAACCCTTAAACCAAGGAACCAGCTCTACAAGATACAAGTAATACAAGAACTTGTGGGCACTCCATGAAATTGCTGAGCAGTAGGGTTAGAACAGATAAAAGGAAGTCCTTCTTCACCCAAAGAGTGATTGACACATGGAATTCACTGCCACAGGAGGGGGCGACGTCTACAAGCATGGACGGCTTCAAGAGGGAATTGGATAACCATCTGGAGCAGAGGTCCATCCATGGCTATTAGCCACACGGTATAGATAGGAACTCTCAGTCTGGGGCAAGGGATGCTCTGTATTCTTGGTGCTTGGGGGGGGGCAACAGTGGGAGGGGGCTTCTAGTGTCTTGGCCTCGCTGGTGGACCTCCTGAAGGCACCTGATATTTTTGGTCACTGTGTGACACAGAGTGTTGGACTAGATGGGCCATTGGCCTGATCCAGCATTGGCTTCTCTTATGTTCTTATGTTCTATGCCTCCGCCCCCTCCCCCGAAAATATCAGAAGGCACTGTTGATCTTCATGAGGTACACACACAAAGAATTCCTTTAATGGCATTTCACAGGAGTAAAAGCATAATATCTGAGAGATAAAAATTTAAATTCTGGATAAAGTGCAATTTCCGATAAAAAAAATTACCCTGCATCGAGCACTTTACCATGTATAGAAGCGGCATTTGAAGATAGATTTATTTAGGGCTGCCTTTGACTGATTTAGTTTCTATTTATCGGCAGTCCTGCGTGAAGTTTTTCAGTTGAGACCTTTTATGTGTTTTTGTCGCTATATTTATATTGTCTTTATTGCAGTTTTTTTAATAATTTTTTTTAGTCGTAAGCAAAGGAGAAAGGCAGCCCGTAAACGTTTTGGAAAAAATAACGTTAAAATATAATTCTCTAAAGAGGCGAGCGGAAGAGCTGAACCGGCCACTGCCCTAGAGATAGGCGGTTTCGCACATGCTGAATCACGCCATTTTAATCCACTTCGGAGACGGTTTGCAATTGGATTTTGCCCTTTCACACAGTAAAATCTAGTTGCAAAGTGCATTGGAAGTACATTATTTAATGTGCGTGAAAGTGCTGTTGAAGTGAGAACAGGTGAATGAACATCCATTGAACATCCACAAATGGGGCTGATGCCCAGTGGGTGAAGCTTTTGCGGGGACTCTTCACCACAGGGTGTGCCGCAACAGAACAAAAGATGGAGATTACGGAGGAATTGGGCTGGAAATATCTGTAATCTCTGTCTGGAAGCAGGCACAATACTGGTGGGTGATTTTAATGCAACAACAGGCAGATGAAAGATAAATGATGTAGTTTGGTGTAGTGGTTAAGTGCGCGGACTCTAATCTGGGAGAACCGGGTTTGATTCCCCACTCCTCCACTTGCACCTGCTGGATGACCTTGGGCAAGCCCTAGTTCTGACAAGAGCTGTTCTTGAAAAAGAGCAGTTTCTGTCAGAGCTCTCTCAGCCCCACCTACCCTCACAGGGTGTCTGTTGTGGGGGGGGGGAAGGGAAAGGAGATTGTCAGCCGCTCTGAGACTCATTTGGGTAGTGAAGGGCGGGGGATAAATCCAATCTCTTCTTCTTAAATTGGACGGAGGGGGTTTAAATGATTGTGTAGACTGAGGTAACTGTGATAGGAAGGCTAAAAATCTTAAATTTAACTCTGCAGGGAAACGGCTGTTGAAATTATGTTTATGAAATAAGTTAATCATATTACGTGGGCGTCGTATGATTGATAGCCGGGGCGACTATGCGTGTGTAAATTCCAGAAGGGCTAGTAGAACAAATTATTTTCTAACCCCAGAAGGAGTACTTCAGTCTGTCAAAAAAAAATAATTATGTAGGTGCCCTGATTTGGACAGCCTCAGGCAAGCCCAATCTTGTCAGAACTCGGAAGCGAAGCAAGGCCGACTCTGGCAAGGACTGTGGAGGGGAGACCTCCTTGGAATACCAGAGGTGGGAGGTGGGGGCAGGCTTTACTCATCCACCTCTCTGAATATCCTCCAGGCCCCCAGTAGGGGTCAGTCCCCAGTGGTCACCATGACTCCCAGGTGCACACACACAGGCACATGTTTTAAAAAATACCAACAGAAAAATTATGTAGGTGAATAAAGGATGTGTGGGGTGCAGTTAGGGGGTGGGCACAGAAATATCCCCAAGGAGAAGGGGAGAAGTTTTGTCAGGCACCCCGTAGCATGCCCCACTGGAGGTCTTGCATGGCCCGTCTCCAGGCCCATACAATTTCCAGGAGTCTTAAGGGCCGGGAACTTGAAATGTGAGAATGTGTGAACAGAAAGTTCTGTCCTGGCTTTTCAGGTCTTCTTGGAGAGGTCTGCCCCGCCTAGGTCGCAAAGGGCCTGTTGTGGGGAGAGGAAGGGAGGGCGATTGTCAGCCGCTTTGAGACTCCTTCGGGTAGAGGAGAGCGGAGTATAAAAACCAACTCTTCTTCTTAGAATCATGGAATCGTAGAGTCGGAAGGGATCTCCAGGGTCATCTAGTCTGACCCCCTGCACTCTGCAGGAAAGTCACCCATACCTCCCCCTTCACACCCGCAGTGACCTCTGCTCTATGACCAGAAGAGGGCAGGCAACAACAAGAACAAAAAACAACCCTCCGGGATCCCTGGCCAAACTGGCCTGGAGGAAAATAGCTTCCTGACCCCAAACTGGCGATCAGCATTTCCCTGGGCCTGTAAGAAAGGGCCACAAGCAGTGTTCCCTCTAAGCTGAGTGAGTGTGAGCTAGCTCCCAGTTTTTTAGCCTCTCGCTCACACATATTTGTCTTAGCTCAGGAAGGGTGGCTCCAGAGCAGTGTTCCCTCTAAGCTGAGCTAGTGTGAGCTAGCTCACAGTTCTTTAGCCTCTGGCTCACACGTTTCTGTCTTCGCTCAGGAAGGAGGGCTCCAGAGCAAACTAATTTATACAAGTAGCCAAATCGCTCGCTCACCACTTTAATGCCAGAAGCTCACAAAGTAGAATTTTTGCTCACAAGGCTCCACAGCTTAGAGGGAGTATTGCTCCAGAGCAAGCTAATTCATGCAGCAGCCAAGCAGCCAAACCGCTCGCTCACAACTTTAATGCTAGTAGCTCACATAGTAGAATTTTTGCTCACAAGATTCCACAGCTTAGAGGGAGCACTGGCCACAAGCCCTGAGGCAACCCCTCCTGCCCTCCCTTCTCCTGATCTGCCCAAGTTCACAGAATCCACATGGCGGTCAGAGGGCCACCGAGCCTCCGTTTGGAAACCTCCCAAGAAGGAGAGCCCGTCCCACTGAGGGACCGCTCTCCCTGTCCGGAGGTTCTTCCTCATGTTCCTCGCGCTCTCCTTCCCCGGCGGCTTGAGGGCCGTGCCGTTCCCTCCCCTAACCTGTCCGGTCTGTTTTCTCTCCCAGTTGTTACGGACGAGACCCTCAGCTTCATCCAGAGAAGTCGCCGCCTCTTGGTGGTGCTGAGCCCCAACTATGTCCTGCAGGGCACCCAGGCCCTGCTGGAGCTCAAGGCGGGCCTGGAGAGCATGGCCTCCCAGGGGACCATCCGGGTCATCCTCCTCCAGTACAAGGCCATCCAGAGGAGCAAGGTGAAGGAGCTGCAGCAGGCCAGGGCGGCCCTCCGCGTCATTAAGTGGAAGGGGGAGAAGTCCCGGTACCCCCAGGGAAGGTTCTGGAAGCAGCTGCGGGTGGAGCTGCCGGTGAAGAGCAGGCCCAAGAGCTCCTGGGACACGCAGGACCTCTGCTACTCCTCCCTGGAGAAAATCTGAAAGGGGAGGGAGGGGGAGGGTTGAGAATCCAGAGCGGGAAGCAGTGGGGGGGGGCGTGAAATCGGGAGGACCCTAATCAAGGATTTTGGGCACGCTGGAAAGGAGCCCCCCCCCTCTCCGGTGCTCGGTCTGAGCACAGCTTTCCAGAACTTTTTTTTTTTAATGCAGCCCACATGTGGTTATGTGCAGGGTTCATTTCGTAGAAAAAGAGGTGCAGGAGCTCATTAGCATAACTCATTAGCATAACTCATTTGCATATGCCACACCCCCTGACATCACTGGGGGGGTTGTGCAGATCTGTCCTCACAGAGGAGGGAGAGCTTGTACCTAAATAAAACTTGGTCGTAAAGGTGCCACTGGACGGTTTTGGGCTGGGGGGGGGGGCTCTGCACCTTACCTGGCTGCTTCTTGCTCTGACTGAGGGCTGCTGGGAGCAGGGGGCGGGGCTTGTCACATGTGCCCGCCCCCTGGGCTCTTTACTGCCGGAGCTCCGCTCCTGTGCGCTCCTGCAGGAAATGACCCCTGGTTATGCGTGCCCAGGGCCCCCTTCCTCGGTGAGTGACTCACAGAGCCAGTGTGTTTTCCGTCCAGTGAGGAAGCAGGTTCCTTTCAGGCCAAGGGGATCGGGGGCCCTGTGGTGTGGGATTGTGGTGGAGTTCTGGCACACCGAGAGGAGGGAGGCCACCGTTGCCCTGCCGTCCTCGAGTCTTCCGTCCTCGAGCGTCACTGGCCCATTTCTCTTGTGTCTGGACGGGCCAAGTCCTGCCCAAAACACTGTCGGAAGCCAGCTTTCCCCATTCCCGATGGGGATCGTCTAAGTCAATGGAGATGACTTGTCTGGAGGGACAGTTGGTGTTCACACGGAGACAGGGTGCAGGGGACTCGATCTAGGATCTGCCCACAGCAACCACACCGCGGTGTGACACCACAGCCCTGGGTGCACATCGAGGGAGATTTGCCCAACTGGGCTGTTCTCAGATCCTACATTCTTGCATTGTTCTTCATTCACACACAAAACACACACACCCCACGAGAAATCCCACATTTCTGTTGCCGCCCGCCCCTTTGCCAGTTTGGTGTAGCGGTTAGGAGCACAGACTCCGCTCTGGGAGAACGGGGTTTGATTCCCCCACTCCTCCACATGCAGCCACCTGGTGTGACCTTGGGTCAGTCACAAGTTATTTCAGAGCAGTTTCTGTCAGCGCGCTCTCGGCCCCACCTACCCCACAGGGTGTCTGTTGTGGGGAGGGGGAAGGGAAAGGAGATGGTAAGCCGCTCTGAGACTACGAGTGAAGGGCAGGGTATAAATCCAATCTCTTCTTCTTCTCCAGAGGACAAACTCAAGGCTAGTGTTAGCTTGGTTTTCCACCTCGCACTGCCACATCAGGCAGATTCTCGTGATGAGCTGGCCGGATCCTAGCAGGTTTCCTCGGAGCAGTGCTGTTCTGTTCTGTTCTTCCCCTACCCAATCCCTCGCCCATGCACAGCCTAAGGAGAGTTGCCCCAGTCGGCAAGACGCCACCCCTGTGCTGCGGCCCGAAAGGCCTTATCTCCCTGGACAGTTGCCTGCATTTTCTTTCCCCTTCTAGCCCATGAGCAGGCAACGCACACCGTTAAAGGCGATAGGTTTTCACTGTCGCGTTCAGTATTAATTCTTAGGCCACAGGCATTTAAAACGTTCTGTCCAGGTTTACAAGAAGTCTCCTGTGGGCTCACCCCCCCCCCCCCCCCGGTTGAAACCGCCCGTCGGCTGTGACGTTTTCATCTTTCCAATATTTATCTCTGCTGCCTTTACCCCTCCGCACACAGACACACACGCTACGGCTCGGAGGTGAGCGGGCCTAAAAGCGATTAACCCTGGGGCGCGGCAGCTTCGGATGTGGCGGCGACTTCAGGTCGCGAATGAGAGGCTGAAGGGATTTGAGAAGGTAGCAGGCCCCTTAAGGAAGGCCCCCTGGGGCTCTTGAACCCCTTCCCTGTTTGGATTCACGGCGGAGTCAACAGCAAGAGAGTTAAACATTCTGACAGGGAGAAGGCCGAGGATCTCAGTTCTCACTAGGGAAACATAACAAGCTGTTACGTTCGAGTAAAGTAGCACCTTCGAGACCAACCAGATTTGAGGGAGCGAAGCTTTCGAAAGCCAGTTTAGTGTAGTGGTTAGGAGTGCGGACTCTAATCTGGGAGAACCGGGTTTGATTCCCCACTCCTCCACTTGCACCTGGCTGGATGACCTTGGGTCAGTTAAAAGTTCTCCCAGAGCTGTTCTCTCAGGAGCAGTCCTCGAGAGAGCTCTCTCAGCCCTGCCAACTTAAAAGGTTGTCTCTTATGGGGAGGAGAAGGGAAAGGAGATTGTAAGCCCCAAAGAATCAGTGGCCTAATCGCCTGTGGGAAGGGGATGACAGCGTGGAAGCCAATTCTGAGCGAGGGTCTTCTCAAGGTGGCCGGTTCCATGTGCTTGTTTCATTGGTCCATTTTTTTTGTCTCTCCTTTCTGTTCTGCATTTTCCTATACCATCTGCATTAAAAACGTTTTTTTGTTTGTTTTGCATTTCAATAAAGTTTTTATTTTGGTATTTTCTGTTGTGCTTCAGTTCCGTCTCCATTTTTCCCCATGTGTGTGTTTATTTTGATTCCATCTTGCTATTCCCTCTGGCCGTGGACACCCTCAGCCCCACTGTGCCTTCCCGATGGCAGCTCTTCATGCTGCGGCCCAAGGAAATCTCAGCTTCGTGGGTCAGGGTTCCCCCATCATGGAGCCTTCACCAAACTTCAGAAAGTGAGTGGGGATATAATAGATCAGGGCTTGTTATTAGAACATCAGAATAGCCCTGCTGGATCTGACCAGTGGTCCATCTAGTCCAGCACCCTCTCTCACACAGTTGCCAGCGAGTTCCTCTGGAGGGCCAACAACCGGGCAGAGAGGCCCAGGCCTTCATAAGAACATCAGAAGAGCCCTGCTGGGTCAGACCAGTGAAGGTCCATCTAGTCTAGCATCCTGTCTCACACAGTGGCCAACCAGTTACTCTGGATGGGCAACAAAAGGGCAGAGAGGCCGAGGCCTCCATAAGAACATCAAGAAGAGCCCTGCTGGATCAGACCAATAGTCCTTCTAGTCCAGCATCCTGTCTCAACTGACCGGTTCCTCTGGAGGGCCAACAACAAGGCATAAAGGCCAAGCCTTCCCTTGATGTTGTCGCTTCCTGGCTCTGGGATTCAGAGGGTTAGTGCCTCTGAACGTGGCGGCTCCCGTCAGCCATGGCTAGCAGCCATCGATAGACTTATCCTCCATGAATCGATCTAATCCCCTTTTAAAGTCTGTGGCAGCGAATTCCGCATTGATACACACTCTGTGTAAAGTAGTATTTCCTCTTGTCTGTCCTGAACCTACTGCCCATCAGTTTCCTTGGATGCCCTCAAGTTCTAGTATTTTGGGGGAGAGAGAAAAAGTTCCGTTCATCAAGTCTCTCCACCCCATGCATAATTTTAGAAACCTCTACCATGTCCCCTCTTAGTTGTCTCTTTTTTAAAGTGAAATGTCCCAGACACGGCAGCCTTTTGTCATAGCAAAGGTGCTCCAACCCCCTCATCATCTTGGTCGCCCTCCTCTGTACTTCCTCTAGCTCCGCAATGTCCTTTTGGAGATACGGTAACCAGAACCAAACACAGTATTCCAAATGAGGCTGCACCATAGATCTATCCAGGGCCATTGCAATATGGGCCATTTTATTCTCAATCACTTTCCTAATAATCCCGAACATAGAGTTTGCCTTTTTCACTGCTGCAGCAAACGGGGTTGACACTTTCATTGAGCTCTCCACTACGACCCCGAGATCTTTCCCCCTCTTAATCTCGGAAAATTCAGACCCCATTGGCCTATACTTGAAGCGGGGACCCAATGTGCATCACTTCACGCTTGCCAAAAACTTTTATTTATTAGTATTTTTACCCCGCCCTCCCCGCGAGCGGGCTCAGGGCGGCTTATAAGAGGGCAACAATGCTCACATATATCTCCCTTTCTCACAATACAAGAACTCATGGACACTCCATGAAATTGCTGAGCGGTCGGGTTAGAACGGATAAAAGGAAGTCCTTCTTTACCCAAAGAGTGATTAACACTTGGAATTCACTGCCACAGGAGGTGGTGGTGGCTACAAGCATGGACGGCTTCAAAAGGGAATTAGATAAGCATATGGGGCAGAGGTCCATCAGTGGCTATTAGCCACAAGGTATAGATAGGGGCTCTGGGGCAAGTGATGCTCTGTCATCTTGGTGCTTGGGGGGGGGGTCAACAGTGGGAGGGCTCCTAGTGTCCTGGCCCCACTGGTGGACCTCCTGATGGCACCTGGTATTTCTGGCCACTGTGTGACACAGAGTGTTGGACTGGATGGGCCTTTGGCCTGATCCAACATTGGCATCTCTTATGTTCTTATAAACAAGATAAAACAGATTAAAACAGAATAAAATCATTGAATCACAAAAGTAAGGTGCTCAATAAAGAACAAGATGGTTTTCCAACGGTAAATGCCGGATCTTTCATTGGAGGTAGATAGTGTCCTGTCGCTGGTACGCGGCCAGTCCAATGGTACCCACCAAGCACAGTATCATGGCAGATCTTCAAGGGCCGTCCTTACTGTTAGATTGCCGCTAACAAAGATCCGGAGAGTGATTTCAGCAAAAGTGAACAGCTTTATTGGAGGTACGAACAAGCGCTTGAAAGAAGTCATAACCAGAACGACGTAACATTGGGAGCTAGGCTCCTTTTAAACATTCCCGGGCTAACGTAGCCATGCCTCTGTACTGCACATTGTAACTGAACTGGTTGTGCTGGGCTTACAAAACCTCCCACTTGGACTCTGTGCTTTGAGAACATTTGTTTTAAGCCTGCAGTGTCCCAAGGGCAGTGGGTTCTGCTGGACATTCTGTACACAACTGATTGTGGCTTGAAAAAAATGCCCCCCCCCAGTTTTTACCGCAAGGATTCTCTGGATTGACATTAGTCCTCTTTTACTTGCATTGCCACAGTGGCACTGGATTCT